ATACTAGGGAGGGGGTTGGCAACGGTGATGMCAACGGTAGTGATRCCCTTTCTTCATTATTGATAAGGGTCAAAACATTGTTTTTGTTTTCTCCTTTGAAATAAACCTGTTGAGGGAAACGATCTACTTTTTGTTCTAGATGAGGATATCCTGAGGCAGTCGTATTCGATTTGTACTTTAAAGTTGCCTTGATCGCAAGAAAGAGTACAGTTAATATCAGCTGCAAGGATCTTTTCCCGGTTCYACTTGTTTCAGCTGCTGCGCAAGGACAACGTTTCATAGCTGTTTGATCAAGCTCATTGATCATGATGGAGGAAATATGGCTATGTCCCGGACGGTATTGTCCTCTCTTTATTTTTTTGGGCCTTAATTTCAAGAGCAACTTAGACCGTTGATGTTTCCGAGAGTTTTRGTGTCTTTACACTCTCCAATTTTATGCTGCATCAAAAGCTGATTGGACCTGSAGGGAGGAACTATTAATATTTCCTAATGSAACGAAGTCTAATGATCAGCATTTTGAGATAATTGAGTATTATTATTTCKAAGAGTAGTTCTTGACTATCATGTGATGCCCTGAASGTTAGAATCAGTCCAGCGTTTTGTCCAAGTTTTGGTCGCGTTGCAAATTTTTGAGTCACACTATGGTAATTAGCTCAATGTTCACTTAATGTGGTAGCGCACAATCTTGTATGTAGTTCATCCGATACGGTAGGAGTTGATTCGTGCCGGAACTATGAGTAATTGAGGTGTTTTGTACCATAGATACTAGTAGAACTACCAAGTACAATTCCCATGCTGGCAAGTTATTGGCAATCCCCGTATAAATACTAATAGAAATTTTTAGCTCATTTTTACGGTTAAAACCAGTTAAAAATGGCATCCCACGGACAAAAATAAAAATATTTCCATTGTTTAATTTCTCGCTAGTCCCAAAATATTTCTATTAGTGGTCCTTAATACTGGGGATAAGCACTGATTTTATATCCACAGTAGTAAGGACCTCTAATAGAAACATTTTCGGACTTGGTGGTTTTTTGTGCGGAAGGGGTGAGAGGGGAAATAAAGGCGGGAAAATACTAAAAAAATTGACACTCGGGAAATTGCCTTTAACTTGCCAGCACTGGAATTGTACTTAGTAGCTCTAGATTGCTGGCAAGTTAAAGGCAATTTCCCAAGCGTCAATTTTTTTATTTTCCCGTCTTTATTTCCCCTCTCCCCCCTTCCGCACAAAAAACCACGAAGTCCGAAAATGTTTCTATTAGAGGTCCTTACTACTGTGGATAAAATCAGTGCTTATCCCCAGTATTATGGACCACTAATAGAAATATTTTGGGACTACTAGCGAGAAATTAAACAATGGAAATATTTTTAATTTTGTCCGTTGGTGGATGCCTTTTTAAACTGGTTTTAGTACTAGTACTAGTACTAGTAACTGCTGTAAAAATGAGCTAAACATTTCAATTACTAGTATTTGCATGGGGATTGCCAATAACTTGCCAGCACTGGAATTGTACTTAGTAGCTCTAGTAGATACTAGAGCCACTTGAGGCAAGCCCATGCTGGCGAATTATTGGCAATATCAGCTGTCATTTTCATTTTACTGTCTCCATTTCTCCTCACCCCTTCCACAAAAAAATTCTAATCCCTGGTTAATAATTTTTTTTTAGGAGTCCTTACTAGTGAAGATACAATACTATCAGGAGTGGTAAATACTTCAAACACCTGCCTGTCACTAGTAATGGATAGCAGTATTAGAGCCAGCACCAAGAAATTAAATAAAAATATTTTATTTTTTGTCATATGGCAGTTGTTTCTGATTTTTTTTAAAATGTGGTACAAATGACCTTAAAAATTCTGCTAGTTTTTGTACAACAGGAATTATCAATATCTTGCCAATGTGGGGCTTGTTCTCTTTTGTAGCTCTAGTAGGTAGAGATCACCATGCATAATGCAGCATAGTACGCATTCAATTTACTCCATTTCTATTCTGTACTGCGTCACACAAACTGATTCTTTGGTGCTTTGTTTTTCCAGCGTACATAAAATTAAATTCATGTGTGTATTTTGTACTGCTYRTATGCAAATATCTGGYKGYTKTYYTYMKTRGAACATGTTCTCGAACCACTCATTTCTCATGTGGAGTTTGATGCCCTTTCTCATGCTTGGTTTCAATTCTTTCATTGGAATTTTTTTTATATTTGGAGACAAATTGTCTCAATTATTYGACAAGTATTTTGTGTTGTCACCAAAATCCTATTTTGACTTCCTTCATTCCTCTCCTTGGTTTCAAATTCCTCTCCCCTGTTGCCAACACTCTGCCGCCTAGTAGTGACAACTTTTCTACTTCAAGCGCCAAATTTATTTCACATTTACGCAATTCYATCTAGTAATTGGAAAARAAGAAACTCTAAACATTTTGTGCYGCTATTGCCACTATTTTTTGTATCGGTAAGGTGCYGTTATTGTTACTGTAGTACATGTTCTTTAGATTGGTTTTCATACCRCTTGTATCTTTGACTTCAGTTCATTTAAGATCTCATTGTCTTCCCAATAATTTTTACTGATCAAAATTTTTCTCYATTTTGTGCAAGTTTCTTTTCTTATTAWTTCTAGTATCCTCCGTCTCTGTTTTCTCTTCTSTATGCMACCCTTAGTGTTTGTTCAATCTCTGCTGAAGCATCTCTTTACCTCTTTGACTATCTTTCCAAACAGCATATGTCCCTAGTAGCTCCAGCCTTCTTTGTTGTTACTTATCCTGCTGTTGGTGAATCGCTTCTGGTTTTCTTTCCACTCCCAGAATTATTCCATGATTCATAGTTGTTGTACAAAAAAGCAGTGCAAAGGCTTTGTCTGTTGCGGTGAAAACGGAGCTCAGTTTATCTTTGTGTYGCCTTTGCTTGAATTCCTTTTGTTTAGGGGAAAACACCCCTAAAATCCTTGTTACAAAGTACTTGAATTATGGACTATTTTCTTGTCTGTAGCTACTTCTTAGCACATATGTCTCTCCTCCATCTCCTTCTGCTATGATGCAATTGCCACCGAACAATTCTGGTACTACCTCATTTTTTTATCTTCTGTAGTACTTAACAAGCAGAGATTGATGATTGTGAGTCACAAAGTTTCTCAATTGWGTCTGATGTTGTGCATGCACTTGCATCAGTTTTGCTTACCCTTGTAATTTTTCTTCACCAACACACAGAGGAATGAGTGATCAAGAAAATAGTAAGTTATGACCCCTGCCCTATGGTAGGTGACATAGGGCTCCCAAGGAAAKTAGTGCTGTACATTTCAGTCCAGTTGCTAATGGGTCATTCCCATTAATCTAGATGGTCTAGTAAAGGTCTAAATGGTCTACTTTAGACTTTTTAGTTTAATGGGAATCATTAAAAACATGGTCCCAATGGACAGTCTTTTAGGCAGTCTTCTAGTACTCTTAAGGAATCCGGAATCTCAACAGAAATGACTAAGACTGGGAAAGCATGCCTGTGGRTACTAATTAAAACATGAAATTTTTGATACTGCTGTGTTTGAAGCAGAGGAAGCCTTCTCCAAGACCTCTACATCCTCATCATTGATGTAACCTTCAACTGGATCAAAGGTTTCCTCTCCAGTACCAAGATTTGCCTTCTTGATTCCAATCAAGCAATGGGCCTCTCTTGCAAGCCTGACAGATTATGGGACAATGGTGGGATTCCCAGTAGGTACCATCTGTCTCCTCAAGCAATTGAACTTTGTTTTTATGGAATCCTTTGTTCTACCACAGGGGTAGCTCTGTCCATGTCTGGTGTAAACCACCATGGTGAGCCAGTCACCCTTACCAATGGAGAGGATCTCCTTGATGAGAGTTGTCAGTGAGATAAGCTCMTCTTCCAAGTAGTTTGCAGTACCAGCCTTGCGGCCTGGCCCCTCTACTTTTGGTTGTGCTCCTTGGGAACTGACAACACCATTGGAGGCAAGCGGCATTCCCCATTACAACAAGGAGGAATACTAGTAGTAGTAGCATAAGGACCACCAGTCATCTTTGCTAGGGGAATGAATATTGTGAGAGGGATCTTCTCCCCTCTCATTGTGTCATTCTTGGATTCCAGACTAGATTTAGACTTTCTGTCAAGAGTGAATTGAGCATTGATAGAAAGTCAAAAAACTAAGATAAGATGGTCTATTTTTGGTCTGTCTGTCTGTCTGTCTGTCTGTCAAAAAGTATACCATCTAGAGTAATGGGAATCACCCAATGCTATGAGAATGTCCAGAAAGTAGGTACAAGTACTCGTAGTACCTTTGTACTGTGGCATTCATTTTTCTCCACTACGAAAAACGGACTTCGTACAGGTTTTTGGTACTCATACTAGTACTTGGTGGTAGTACAACGGTTTGTACTAGGGGTCAGCAATGCAACAGTATTTGAAAAGCATTGCGATGCAACGGTCCACAACGCCTTTTTTCTATCCTTGACCGTTGCACAACGCCGTTGCATAATAAAATGTATTAAAAATTTAACTACTTGGAAGTTTTACCTACTGGTGCTTGAACAAGGTCATACTACTTATCAATCACATRGCAAAAATTTTAACCCTAGTGCAGCGTTGCAACGCTCAAATAGCGTTGCGTTGCTGACCCCKATTTCGTACGTACTCAGTATTGGGCATGACAGCAAAAAATCCCATGCGATCTTCAACCAACAACCTGCCATCACGTGTTTACCGCGCGCCATCGACGATGGGTTTTTGTTTTCTGTTTTGATTGGTCAGTCACATTTTAGTGGGTAGATCGGCAGATGTTGAATCGATGTAGAATCGGATTACGTAGTCCACACCGTACACCGACATTGCGTCTGCTTTTCTATTGGAAGAAACTCGTGTCCCAATTGCTGACAAACTATTAGCAAAACAAACAAGTTGTTGTTTTCATTGTATTACTAGTAGTACCCGTACAACGTACTTCGTACGAAGTAGATACGATACTTGTAATACATAACGTGTCGATCGCCATAATCTCACCCAAAAAGAACAAAAGATTCATCAAACCAAGCAGAATTTATCGGCGAACGATCAGAATTACGAGCAAATTCAAAAAGATCAGSAGAGCGCACGTATCCACAGCACCCCCTCTTATTGGAAGCGGATCAATCGAAAACCGACCCGTCCTGCGAGACACAGAAGCTCATAGATTACGTCAAATTACGAGTGAATGATGACGAGAAGAAGCAACAGTTGTGGAGTACAGAAAAGGAAAGGCACATCGCTTGTCGTTTCAATGACATCGGCAGCTACTGCTGCTACAACAACACTGATGCTTGTAAACGGTTGCCACTTGATAAATGCTTTGACYTTCCCMTATTCATCTTCGTCGCTTGCAGCTCCCGTTGCCATGTCGACTCATCTGACGACAATGAACACCAGACCGGCGGCAAACGTGGCAACAGTTCCATTGTCTCTAATACCATCGTATACCACGAGCATAGCAAGAAGAGCCGCTATGACACCATTGCRGTCCACATCAACAAATACAGAAGCTCAAATGACGGGAGCACAAAAGAACAACCCCCCCAAGGAAGCAGCAGCAAACCTCGAGAACAGAASTTACGSCAGCGGTGACGTTGACGATTTCTTTGAGAATCCAGAAGGSGTGGTGTGTGCCAGAGGTGTTTGCGCCGTTTCTGAAGAAGGGGCACCCGAAAGTTGTTATCTCAACGAAGATCTCAACGAAGTAGTCTGTACAGCAAATCCAAACAATCAGGTTGTGCAGCCCGGTTTTACACTGGCGTATCTCTGGCCGCGGACCCTGCTTCTGATCTGCAGCGTACTGTATGGGACTAATTTCCCCCTWGGGCGATTGATGAATGACTCGTTGCCAGCTAGCGCCGCTACATCCACCCGTATGGTTCTGGCCTCTCTCGCTCTATCGCCTTTTTTGTTCCAACTGAAACCCAACCTGAGAAAATCTGCCGCGATCTGCGGGACCTTTACGGCCCTGGGATACATTTCCCAATCCATTGCCCTAGTTGACACCCCCGCGGCAACCGTRAGTTTCCTGGGGGCACTGGTCGTAATTGTTTGTCCCGCCCTTGCCGTGATTGTCGACAAGAAAAAAATGGGATTTGCAGATGCTCCCCAGACATGGATTGCAGCCATAACCTGCCTGATCGGGGTTGGCGTGCTGGAACTCGGCGGCGACGAGGGACTTGTAGGCCAAGTTGGCTGGGGAGATCTCTGGTCTGTCTTACAGGCCGTCGGATTTGGAACCTCGTTTTTCATTACCGAACGAATGATGGCAAAGGAACCCTCCCAGGCCCTACCCATTACGGCGATGCAGTGCGCCATGTCCGCTGCATTTGCGGGCRTGTGGGCTGGCCTCGACGGGACAGGTTTCATGGACGGAGCTCTTTCCTTTGGTAGCCCTCACGGTGCTTGGTTGCTGAACGAAAGTGACGCCGGTTCATCYTTTGCCCTTCCGGGACTGTTTTTCGATGCGAACTTTCGAAACGTCGCACTGGCGGCCGCCTTCACCGGATTCGTGACCACCGCTGGTAACCGCGTTGGCGAAACGGTGGCCCTAGGCAAGCTTTCTTCATCTGAAGCATCTGTTCTCTTGGCCACGGAGCCGTTATGGGCGGCAGTCTTTGCAAGTTTCTTGATCAACGAGCAGCTGAGTCTCTGGGACGGAGTGGGAGGGGCACTGATAGTTGCGGCCTGTGTAGCAACGGCGATCGATCCGGTATGGCTAAGAGAGAAACTACAAATCGATTATGTTGGTGCCGATGTCGGCGCTGATGTAGCTGCTGTRGCTATTATTGAAGCCACCAGTGATGAAAATGATGATGTCATTGATACTTTTATAGAAGTAAAAACATCAGCAACTTCAGAATAGTAATAACATGAATGAGTGAATTGATGTTTCTCCACGCTACGTTTTGACAAATAATACATCCATCTTTTATAGTATGACGTGYCCTAGTTCAAATAAAAGATCTTTTCCCTAAAGGTAGTAGCCCTGTCGCAAATAATCGAGTAACTAATTCTATACCTATTACTGTTCTTACTGCAATAAAATCCATATCTCAATCGATTGGACAATGGAAAGTWCTGTATCGCATATCTGCGAAGACCTACTGCGGAGTCGGAAAAACTTTAAAGCTCCGGMTTGCGTAGTTTTAGAAACGTATATCATAGGTATTCATTGTATGTCAGAAAATGTTATTACTTCCCCTAAGAACGTATCCCGACCCCAGATAGTACTTGCGTATGCAGTAAGATGGAAAAGTGTGGAACACTACCAGGCCAAAAACATTTCARATTTRAACATGACGTTATTGCAAATCTTGTACTATKTTTACACTTCGGCGCTATACCAAGTTTYATCCACCTCATTAGCTAGRTGGTTCAGCGCTTCAGGATTGAATTAGCTGTACCTAAGGTGACTAAATTATTSAGTCTTCGGTTGAAATAATAAGAAAGTAAATATCATCCGTCGATTATTTWCGGCAGAGATCCTTCAATGCTGTTTATGATAGTTGTTATGCTGTTGAACTGAGGGTAATCTCGGYAGCTAGCTCAGTTGRATTGATCGGTTGAGTGATTTCGTTTTTGTTTATCGATAGTCTACATACGACGCGTTTCGATTTCCGCGATACTTATGCCATATTTCATTGCACGTTACTGTTGTTRCAGTTTGCCGCGATATTGTTTTCGATTGATTGCATTACTCRTTGCCAACTATCATTGCTAACGAAATTTATTCGTTTGAATAGAGTAGGCGYATTTCATTATTGATMGATAACGCTCGAACCTGATCGACTGTTTTGCTTTCCTGTCTCAGAGTATTGCATTAAATTCCATTCCATTTCATTTCACTCAATTTTTGCTCATTCTAAAATGGGAGTTTTCAAGAACTSAATTTACAACGATTCAGTTCCGTTCAGTTCMATGCAATCGAATTTTCAATCCATCATACATCACGTTCTTCTATGGGCGTCGAAACCCCTTGGTTTCTGTGGTCCTTGCTGTTGGACTTTATGTTGTTGTGGAAGTCTGCCAAGGTGTTTTCTTTSCCGACGGATGGCTTTGAAGCGGTATCCATGATGRTGTYCGTGCTGCCCTTTGTTCTTGTTCCKGCGTTGACGTGCGTCTTACCKGTTCCATAAATGCGGGTATTCTCCGGAAGACTACCATAGACCCGTTCGTACCATACGTAATASATTCTAGGTAAAACCAAAAAACCCACCAGCGCAAGCACACTCAGGGTGTCGAAGATCACAAACGTCAAGTTACGAATCGTGGACCTTGTTTTCAGGCTGATTTCCGATGACAAAAGTCTCASAATGCCAGCTATGAAAAGATTGGCTGTGGAWYTGACRGCAAAGAAAACACAGAACCGGAGAATTCGTTTGCTGTCACCAATATCTTCATCCACATTTCGAAGTTTCCACGCGAACACCACGAGGCCGAATTGCAATAGAGTTATGATGACTTGTTTGACCCACCAAAACGCAATGCTTCCGGGGGCCGAGTTGCAGCAGTATCCTGTGAGTCCTTCTACTCCGGTTGAATCGCCCACCTCGTAAGTGGGCGGGTAGAAGACTTGCTTAATGATGGAAAATGCCATAGTCAAGAGCACGATTAGGTAGAACGGAACCAATACGTGTCGCGMGAGAATGATTTGGCCCCGGCGGAACTGAACTACTTTGTAGGTTCGATACAGTTTTAGGTGTAGAATCGTCATGACGGCTGTGTACCCCACAAACTCTGCCCATTCGGCAGTGCTACAGAGCCCAACATGTACTTCATGTGAGCCCAGAAAGGCTGGCATTACCCAAAAKACGGACCCGGCAATCACAAGGAGCATCGATGCACACATGTTCAGCAGCATGTATGGTTGACCCATYGCAACAATTGGTTTTCGTCGGAAAGTAAACAAAAATATCATCGCAGCGAAGGTAACCATCAAACTGATGGCAATCATGCACATCCAGATAAACAGAACCCATGTTTGAGCATAGTGCATAATATCAGTAGCCATATTGTCTCGATTGTTGTCGTTTTTTCGTGACCATTCGAGAGATTAATTTATAACATCTGACGGGACTTTCGGCGGAGAGGCTGTTTTTGCAAAATGTACGTGTGCTCTTTAGTGCCATAACGACGTGTTTACAATAAAGAGTGAGCTTATTCACTATCTACTCGTGATTTAGGCTCACAGTTTCTACCGTCCCTTAGTTCTAGAACCTTATTACAGGCGAACCTACAGAGCAATGCTTTCTATCACGAAGTGTACTGTATTAAATTTTTGAATCAATTTGATCAGCGCATCCATCATTGCATGCAATCGTGTACCGGGATGGTGGGTCTTGCCAGACTGCTACGGAGTATTTTTTTTAGGGGCAGCACATGCATGGTTGGGGGCATATCGTGAATTTTGTCCATGGTAAGCACAACATGTGTGAATTTGTTGTATTACCATGTGTGATCACGYGTCCTCTCCATTGAAACGAATGGATTTTGGAAACAATGAAAGTGGGTTATTTCAGGGGAAAACACGTTTTGCATCCCAAAAATAGAAGTGAAAACGGGGTAGTGCGCGCCAGGGTTCCGGAGCGTAAGGTATGGGGCAATGGAGTTCCTTACTCGTACATAAATAGCGTAGAACTGTRGGACCTTGTCCCATCTACTTGCAGTACAATACCGTACGTTACTTCGAAGCTGTCAGGGGTCTAAATTATGACCCCTGCTAGCTGTAAAAGGAGGGACASTTTGTAAAAAACTGCATGAAGGCATAGACTTTCGACCATCATGCGCGGGCCATGTTGAACTTCAACCCAACTAAACTGCATACGGTACGCATGACGATGCAAAGAGAGCAGCATAAAAAAAAATAGGGAGCAATAATTGTAACCTTGGTCGTGATATCCAGTGATGAGTTACAGTACTTGATTAATCGAACAAAACTTCCAGGTATGTACTCKTACTTGCACCTTAGTACGAGTTTCAGTGCGTACGATCAAGACCATCGGACAGGTACACCTTGCCGACGAGTAGGTAGTCATAGTACAGTAATAACATTACTATCACTTTATCTGTTTCAATATTGAATGTAATAAGCCCTAGAATAMRTTCGTATTCAATATTCTGAAACGGTATTAAAAGTTAAAACGGACGATTATTCCTTCTTGCCCAGTGAGTTCTCTTGATMAAAAGCGCCCAATTGAGAAAGAGATCTAGTTTACTGGTACTGTACCACTGTATTATGGTGGGACCCAACCAGTGAGCCTTCGATGCGCAAGAAGGAATTCGGTCAGATCACTCGTTCTTTTAAAAATAACTTGTTGGGGAAAAGAGAACTTCAATGCTATTCCAAAAACTCAATTATGATCTCGGGTTCTAAACAGAATAAAATAACTCGACACGGTATACCGTACAAGTAAGAGTAATCGTAATCATTGTTACTTGAACAAATAAATTTAGTTTTGGTATTTTTTATTTTCGTGTTGATCATATTCCCATACTACTTTTTGTTCCATCGATCTGAGGAAAAAACCCTTGAGCGCCAGTCTAAAGTGCAGCTGCTCATCAACGACTAAACAATAGCCACAAGGACCTCGAAATCAAAAAGGCAACAGATAACATGGATTCGTTGGATTTCCTTGGTTCGTCTTCGGAATCTTTCGAAGGACGAAACCCCACAAACACAAATATCCAGTCGGACGATGCCGACGATKTCAGCCCAACGGAAGCGCTCTCCGTTGCGACACCGCAACCAGTACCCATCGGAGAAAAAACAATCATCGTCGACGACCACACAATCTGCGATAGTTTTGAAGACGCTMCTAATGCAAATTTCGATGATACGATGCGAATAGGGAATGCTCCTTCAAGCACCGAAGACCGGAATAACATGTTCACCAAGGTACGTACATTTTTGTTGCGCGAACAAACCACCTCTTGTGTGATATGCAACAAACTCTTGTTTTTCCGGCCATATAGTCATCGTCGTTTCCATTCGCTGACATAAACTATTTCKTGTTCACGGGTGCACAACAATGTTGGTTTTGTGTCCTCTCTCCAGTTTGCCTTTCCCTTCAAGCTCCATTCGATCCTAGAAAACTCCAACAAATCCGAGCAGGAGCACATTATTTCCTGGCTCCCCTCCGGTAAAGGCTTCAAAATCCACAAACCCAAGGAATTTGCGAGGTCTATCATGCCTCAATACTTCAACCAAACAAAATACCGTTCCTTCCAGCGCCAGCTCTACATCTAYGGCTTTGATCGAATCCGTACCAAGTCGTCGGATGACTACGGCGCATACTACCACCATCTCTTTGTTAGGGGAGCGAGTGACTTGTGCCTAGACATGCAGCGGAAGAAAATCAAGGGCACCGGCCTGAGCAACGAGGAACGTMGAAAACGCTCGATGCTGTCGAAGTCCGTAGCTTCTTCCGAGCGAAACCAAACCCCAAGAAAAAACATCCATTACCAAACCGTTGTCGCTGCACCACAAGCCGTCCCGATTGAAAACGAAACCAAACTTTTGACACCGTCGATGCTCCTTGCCAAGCACAGAAAGAACAACAG